CCTATAATGTTATTAAAAAGAATACAAAGATATGCTATCCATCTTGGGGGTAAATTTTTGTAAAAGATTCCTTTTATACCATCTGGACCCGGTGCCGAATCCGCTTTACATTTTAATAAGCTGTTTATTACCTCCTTTATTGTTATTTCTGCATCTAATAAAGGGTCTGTGTGGGACTGAGGTAACTCTTTTGTTACCCCAGACTGTGAGGGAAAACTCTCAAGTAAATATTCATACCACACTTCAACGTCTAAATTATTTAACGCACTGTTTTTTACTCTTACTTGGTTAATTATACCCCAAAATGTTTTAGAATCCCTTGAATTACTCAAAGTTTCGACTCTATTCAATTCAAATTCCCCTTTCTTTTTGTTAATCAATTTTTTATAATGTTTTTTTTCTTCTATATATTTCGCTTTAAAATTTCCCTTAAATAACTCTTTTTTACCTTGTTTTAACAAATTTTTTAATTTTAATTTTAAATTCCGACATTCCTTGTCGAACCAAGGTTTATTTTCTGAAGCAAATGGTTTATTACAAATTGTTTTTTCCATATTCAGGGAAGAGGCTGCATAATACAATGACTCGCGCATAACTCTCTCAAGATCCTCATACTCTAAAGAAACCCAAGCTGAATCAAAAATTGACTCCATTAAAAAATAAAAGTCTTCTGTTTTGTTTTGATCAAAAATCAATCTCGATTCCTTTTTTTTCTTATTTTTTTTTATTTTTTTTCTTATTTCTCTAAACCATTTCAAGCCATTCATCGAAATCCAAACCAAATCGATAACGCTTGCTCCGATTGACTTAATCAGAGTGAAATTTCCCCGTAAGTCACTCTGCGCTCTTCCATTTATCAATAAAAAACCAAAAGATTCCAGGGTATGCACAAGCAGTTTCCCCTGACTATTACAAACTTCATCCATTGAAAATCTAACATATTTAAAGCATGACTCATACAACAGCTCCTCATTAACCTGATTTAAACGGGCAACTCTGCAGTTAAAGTCTCCCCCCAATACAATTGGGCAGTCAGGAAACTCGGAAGACAAATATATTAAATTATTTTTTAAATCGCTCAAAAACGAATTAAAATTTGCTAATGGAGAACGATAAATTACTCCAAGAAGAAATACAACGCTTTTACAAAAAACCTTAATAAAAATAAATTCATCGGTTCTCGAAATTTCTTTCATTGTAAAATATTTTTTGTTATATAATATCATTATTCCGCCGCTTGCTCTACCAAAATGCGAAGTCTTTCTTGCTTGAACATTTATGACACTAAAATTCAAATTATTACCTGTGATATAAATCTCTGGAGAAATCAACCAAGTTTCACATAAGCAGACGATATCCGAACTTCTCACTACATCTAAAATATCCTTAAAGTTTCTAAAACCACTGTAATTCCAGAATATGCATCTTCCCACGTCGTCCTTGTTTCTTGAGAAAGCTGATCTATTTTCCGGGCCTAAGGTTTGCTATTGCATCAAATCGCCATCCATGTTGTCACTAATGACACTTCGCGTGTCATTGTTTGGTTTCACACTTTCAAAGAATTCCGCCAGTTGATGATTTGAATTTTTCAATTTATCTTTGTACGACGGTCGGCCTCTTGGTCTCTTCGGTGTCGTGTTAGATGGTGACGACTCACTCGTTTGTTGATGCTCAATTGTTTTCCGTTTTCTCAGCTTGCTGTTATTGTCCTTTATCAATGAATCGATTTCTTCCATTCTAGCTTGCTTTCCGTCGATGAAAATTCTATTATTTTTCAGAGTAGCTTCAATTTTACAGACTTTAAGTAATTGAACTTTTTCTTTTAAATTTTTTCTTTTTTGTCTCTCTTCTTTAGAACAATCATTCGTGATTATTAGATTCAGAGCTTTAAACTCTTTTATATTGGAAAAAATGAGTTTTATCCATCTCGAGCCTGTAAACTTGACCAAAACAGGACGTATTTGATTTTCTAATTTTTTTCCCAATCTGAATATATCGTTTACCGCATAGTCTGGGATAACAATGTTGCACTTCTTGAAAATCTCAAAGATTATTGCAAATAATTCTGCATGATTTTTTCCTCCTCCGGAAAGTTATATATTACAATGTTATTTGCTCTTAGCTGAGCTCCAAAAAGAGAATTATCAGCTTCCAGTGTTCTTAGTTTTTTGTCCATTTGCTCACATTTTTCTGCAGTCACATTGGAGATAGTATGAATTGAATAATGTACCTCTTTACGTAGCTCTTCGTGCGATGCAGTAAGTTTAGCAATTTCCTCGGTTAATTTAGACAGAGTCTGAATCAGTTCCAGATTGTTGGTTTCCATGATTAGTAACTTAATAATAATACTTTAACAAAACCTCTGTAGGCAAAGGGATCATTTCACCACAATTTTTCACTCAAAACTTGAACACAATATCTACAATTGCACTCACAATTCTATAAAAGTTTTATAAAATTTTAAATTAGAAAATCATTTAATGTAACGGATAACGAGAAGGCTTCTCAAAACACGTCCGTCCTGTATGCCGGCTAAAGAGAGACTCCAATTTTTTAAGATAATTTCATTTTTCGAGAAATTTATTTAAAATTGTATTAAAAATAATTGAAATCTTGTGAAAAATTTTATTATTTATGAAAATAATTGAATTCGTGCAACGAATTTTATTATACCTAATGTTTGTAAATAATTTAACTTTTTCGAAATATTTTATATTCCGAGTCGAAGACTCGGAGTGATTGATATCTTTATGTTTTATAATAATATTCTTATAAGTTGTTGAATTTTAAAAATGTTTGAATTTGAATATTTTGAAGAATTTTAATTTCTATGGGAAAATAATAATTAAATGTTTATTTAAAAATTTAGTTATTGATGTTTGCGAATAATTTTACTATTTAAGAAATTCGTAAGTAAATGTAATAGAATATTTTTTTTTATCTAATAATTTTTTAAGTAAATTAATTTTTTGTGGCAACCCTGTAATATTAAATATTCATTAATAAAAATTGCTATTCTTTTTTCAAATTTTAATATTCTTAACGTATTTACAAATTTTATTGTGCAAAAGTTATCAATAAATCAGCAAATGTTATGCACGGAATGATTTACTATTATTATGCAAATAACAAAATAAAAATGTTCATAAATTTCAATTACTTTCAAAATCTTCGATTAAAGTTATTAAAGAAACTCCATTATTTGAAAAAAAATTTAAATGAATTTAATTAGGATTTTTAAAGATTTTAATAAAATTCTTCTCAGAAATTCAATTAGTTTCATAATTAATTAATAACATTTCACAAAAGAATTAAATTATTATAAGAAATTTTGATAAAACTCTTTATAAAAATTTAAATATTTAAAATATTATTCTAATTAAGTTCTGCGTAAGAATAAACTTTTTAAAAAGATTTTATTTTAATTTTTCGCAAAAAATTTAATTATTTTGAAAATTTTGGATTTATTTTTTTGTAAAAATTTAATTATTGCAGGTTAAAAATTATAAAATTAAGTAAGAAATAACGCATAAGGAATATTTTTAATTGACAAAAATTTTGTTTAATTGCTTTTCTAATATTGAAAGCATTTTATTATACATTAGAATTTTCATTAATTTTAAATATTAAAAAGAATAATTAATTATAAAAAAAATAGACAACAAAATGCAAACAGAAACAACTAACTTCAAATTGCGAAAAGATGTGAAGTCAAATTAAGTAAGGAAAAAAATAAAGTTTAGTTTAATGCTTATCTATTAACTTTCTAATTTAATATTTTCATTTTTAATAATTTATTTATTCTTATTTTTTGAAGATTTAATTAATAAATAATATTAGAAATTCAATTATTTATTGTAATGAGAAAATTCAAATATCTTTGTGAATCCTTTTTTAAATTATCCCGTCATTAGTGACGCCAACCAATGAGATCACTTGAAGCTTAAAAGGACCCGAAATATTCTTCCCTACACATGGTTGATTAGGTTAGTTGGTTAGGTTGTTTCTTTCTGCGTTGCGAACCCGGGTTCTATCTCCAGTCCCTCCAAATTTATTTTCAAAATTATTCTTCAATAATATTGATATTGACGAATAAATAAGTAATCAGTTCGCGGCATAAAATAAATAATAGAGAGAAATATTTTTTATTTTATTTTTATTAAATTTATAAATACTATTTTTTTAGTTATAAATAAACTGAAATATTAAATAAGTTTAAGTGCAAATTAAATAGATAATTACGGAAATTCCGTAAATGATTATTTGTATAATATCAATTTATATTATATTACTTACCTTATGACGCTTACCAGAAAGTACCTTCTAATGGAGCACTCACAGCTCTGCCTGCCTGCGCAGGCAGTAATTGGAGTAAGAGAGAAAGTCAATTAGAGTGAAAGAGACAGTAAATTCAAATTTGTATGCTGCCTACTAGCTGTGAGTGCGCCTTAATGCTTACAGATACTTACCAGAGATAGTTTTAAAGAACTTTTCTCTACTTGTTTTCAGAAAAGTTTCTTAGATAACTTTCTGCAAGCTAACACGGAAAACTAAAAAGCGTAGGACATTTATAGGCCAAGGGAAGCTAACGGGAAGCTAACCATGTTAGCTATATAGAAGCTAACATGGTTATAGTTTCCCGTTAGCTTCCCGCAAAATATGGTGCTATATGTGGGTATTTTATGCGAAAATATCAGAAACTTTTTTATTGAAAGTTGTAGAGGACAAGTTGCCCTACAATATTGATATATAAATATTTGCATCTAAGCGGATTATATTATCTAAAAAAAATCATTTATATGCAAAATTTAACCTTTCGCCCCAGTCTCCCCTACTTTTAAGATTAAACAATTTTTTTCAATTGATTTCTTATTAAATTTAATTCTAATTTAATTTATAATTCAATTTCTAATTAAATTTTTAGCTTAAAAAAAAAATAATTTTATCCGTGAAGTTCATACTAATTAGGAAAGAGGGCACATCATTTGTATAAAATTTGTCATCAAAATGATTCGCAACTACAATGAATCATTCCGAGTTCAAACAAGGTCACAAAAGTGTAATTATAAAAAGGAAAGGAAAAAGTTATGAATTTTCGAGTGACAAATACTTTCTTTCATTTATCATCAAATTTTCGTGACATTCATGGAAACAAATTAAATTTAAAATGGAAACTATTTATTCAATTAATAGAAATTTAAATAATGATTCCTCTCAAATTATTCAAATGTCATTGACTCCAGATAATAAAAACAATATTAATTTATTGTTCTGCAGAATTTGTTTCGAAGGTAAAAAAAATTAATTTACAATTTCTATAATTTTCCCAGAATAAATTGACAAAAGATTTAAATTTACTTGAACGTTTTTAATTAAATTGTAATTAAATTTTTGATCTGTAAAAAAAATCTGAAATCCGATTTAAAATTAATATTTTTAATTGATTTAGGAATTTATTTGATCTAAATTATCCTTTTATTTTTGAATAATTCTCAATAATTTAAGTTTAAATAATTTTGAATAAATTTAAATAATTTTAAATAAATTTCAAATACAAATAAATTGAAATGCATTTATATTAGAATTACTTTATAGTTGACGAATAAAATATAATTTTTCTAATAATTATAATTATAGTAATTTTTCTAATAATTGTAATTATAGTAATTTTTCTAATAATTGTAATTATAGTAATTTTTCTAATAATTGTAATTATAATTTTTATAACAATTATAATTACAGAAAATGTAATTTTTATGTAAAAGTATAACTGCTATAATTTATATAATTGTTATACATATAATTATATACTTATAATATAATTGTTATATAAAATTAAAATTACTTTACAACTAATATTAGTAATAACAACAGCAATAATAATTGTAATATTAATAAATTGGATAATAAAAATAACAGTAATAATAATAATAATAATAATAATAATAATAATAATAATAATAATAATAATAATAATAATAATAATAATAATAATAATAATAAATAAATTTTATTATTAATAATATTATTTTATAAATTAATAAATGAAATAATACTATTATTTATAATACGCTACTTTATTATAATTTATTTTTAAATTAGTTCTTATTATTTTTTCTTTTTATTATTTAGATGAAAATTCAGGCGAGTTAATCGATCCTTGCGAGTGTTCAGGTTCATTGAAACTTGTACACACAAAATGTCTCGAAAAATGGCTTTCAATTTCAAATACAGATCGGTGTGAAATTTGTAAATACACTTTCCCAATAGAAAAGAAGGACAAACCTATTCAAGAAGTGAGTATTTAAATTCCAATCAATAAACATCAAAATATTATAAAATTAAAAAAACAAAATTACCGATCCTTATATATATATACGAAAAAGTTATTTTTAACCCAGAATATATTTACCATTTTTTTTTAGAAAATAATAATAATTATTATTTACACAAACAAAAAAGAAACAAAAAATATCAATTAAAAAATTAAGAATAAAATAAAAAATATTGATTTTTGCTTCCTCAAAATTACAGTTAATTAATTAAAAGTTATGCTCCCCGATTTTTCCATAGATTTAATTTTCAATTTTTATTTTAAAAAATGACATGAAAGAACCCCGTGGAAAATAAAAATACACACAGTGAAAAATATGTTCTTAATGAACTGAAGATAATTACCTAAATAAAAAAATATGCTAATATTTAAAAATTAAAAATTATGCAGTCATTATTCCAGTGGTGGAAGGCAACGAGAATTTACAGATGGAAGGGAATTGTTGGTGATCTAATCGGTTTAATTGTGTTGACACCCTTATGCTTAGGAGCTTCCTATATGTGTGCTATTGGAGCCATAACATATTCACGCATGAAAATTAGAGAAGGATTTGGATTGGCAATTTTGTGTTGCATGCTAGTGGGAACTTACCTTCTTTGGCTATTTATTATAATAAGGTACTTTAATTGCATTTTAAATTATTAATTATTTTTATATCTTATGCTTTTTCTATTATATACTTGGCAGAATTACAGCACTGTTAACTTAAAAGTATCAAATTGCAACGAATTGATACCAAAAATATAGATCAAATAAAAATTGATCAAAAATTTTTTTATAATCATTTGATAATTTTAAGAATAAGCTATGTAAATATACACAAGTAGCAGTACGCTGTATCCAGTGGCGTAACAACGAATTGAGGGGCCCTAGACAAAAAAGTTCGAGGGGCCCACAATTAATCTTTAGTATATACTGCAATTTTTATAAATGAATATGTTGTTCTTTTGTCATTTACTATTATAATGATAACCGGCAACAATTCACGCGTTGACTCGCGCGTTTAACTTTTTTTGTAAAATATTTTACACGGAAAAAAATTTCCTGTGAAAATTACAAGATTTCCTGTGCCATCTATGAACGGCGGTTGTAGTATCCACAAACGGCTGAGTTTGGGAAATACCAAGAAGACTATATACAGGAGGAACAACTCGAGTATTTCCGATGGTCCCGATTTTAACGGACGATTGGGAGTACTACCCCGAGGCGCACTAGTCTTCTGCACATCTCAACACATGCATAACTGTGTATATTTTATATATATTCCATCTGACAGCTGTAACAGCTGCAAGTTTTTATTATCCCCTCATATTGAATAATAAGTGTAAATATTAAGTGAACTTAATATTTTTAATACAGAAATTTTTAAAAAAAGTGAGAAGTGTATTTAACACTAGTGTTTTTAATTATGATTCGTATTGATGAAGAGTGTTAATTTAAATAATAAAAGTTGTAATGGGATTTTCATAACCATTTTTTATCTTACAATAAAAAAAGGGTATGTTATATTATAAATTATTATCTATCCTATTGTAATATATAATTTATTATATATTTATTATTGCTCCAATTATATTTATTTCTGTTATAGCATTGTATTTGAGGTTAACCATAACCTCCAAAGAGGAATTTTTCCAACTGAACTAAGTTTTCGGATTTAACGCTCTACGATATTTCAAAGATTTTAAAAGAGATTTATAAATTATAAAAACTAATGAAGATGAAATCAAGTAAAAATATTTCAGAAGATAAAAACTCTTTTGGGGCATTTCATTTAGTGTTTTCAAAATCAACTGTCACAGAACTTGCACATAACCAAGAAAATTGTAAACAAAACAAACACACATTATTTAAAGATACACAAATAGAGTTTATACAGTTATGCATGTGTTGCGATGTGCAGAAGACTAGTGCGCCTCAGGGTAGTACGCCCAGTCGTCCGTTAAAAACGGGACCACTGCTTACTATGAACAAGCAGGCGAGTTGGTTCTCCTGTATATAGTCTTCTTGGGAAATACACAAACCAGAATGAGTCTTGTCACAAACTTCAGTTTATGATTCAACAGCTTAAACAGTCACGCAGCAGACGACAAGCAGACGTTCACTTGAATTTTCTTGCGCATGCGTGGATTTCTTGGTGTTATAACAGATTGGTTTGTGGTACACACAAACCAGCTTGTTGGAAACACAAAACTCGCCTGCATAAAGCACAACTTAACCTATTTGTATATTTTACGAAAAAGTTTGTGTTTTCTTAGAAAACACAAACTTTTTCGGTAAACCGGTATACCGGTTTTTTTTCGGTATTCTTGGAAACCGGTTTCCGGTTATGAATTCCCGGTTTAAGGTTTTGTTTTTCAACCGGTTTTATTTTTTAAACCGGTTTTTCTCGAAAAACCGATTTTCTTTTTTAAACCGGTTTTTCAAGAAATACCGGTTTTATTTTTTAAACTGGTTTTTCAAGAAATACCGGTTTTATTTTCTAAACTGGTTTTTTAAGAAATACCGGTTTTATTTTCTAAACTGGTTTTTCAAGAAATACTGGTTTTATTTTTTAAACCGGTTTTTCAACAAATACCGAATCTAACCGACTTGCGCATTATGCCTGCGCAAAAGTGACATAACGCCAGAACAGAAACAGATGATTGGGAAAGATTAATCTTTTTTGTTTTTATTAGACATATTACAGTGATTTTTTTTACTTAACAGATAAACTGTAAAAAAAAAACTGTTAAACTGTTAAACTGTTTAACTGTTTTACTGCAGATAAACTGCATAACTGACATTTTTATCAAATTTGAGATAACATCAGATTTGTATATATTTAATATTGCTCTTCAAAGTTCAATAGCTGAAAAATCATTAAAATGGTTATTAATGTATAAAGTGACCATACGTCCCGGATTGTGCGGGACTGTCCCGGATTTTTCCCCTTTGTCCCGCAAAGGCTAGCGTCCCGCAAAACGTCCTGCATTTGACATAAAATGTCCTGCATATCCCGGAAAATAGTTAAGAATATCCTGCATCTACAGGTTAGCACAGTAGCGTATATAAGTGTGAGAGAGATAGACTTCGTGATATTTTAAGAAAAATTAAATCGTCAGAAACATATGTGATTCAATGTTACAAAATAAGCATAATATAAATATGTAAATGTCATAAGACGAGCCTTTGTTTCAATTCCGCTCAAATTGACGCCTACAAATTCCCTGATTCTTTTTTCTTGTCACAAATGACCTTTTTTTTTTGTTTACTAAATCATATAAATAAGCGGGTGTCCCGCATTGACACTATTTCCATATGGTCCCTTTATTAATGTAGAAAATAATGGAAAACATAATCGCATAATTGCGTTTTTGACAAAGGGAGACCAGCATAATAACATAACTGCATTCAGCTTAAAAAACAATTGACATAATTAAAAATGAAAATAACCTTTATGAATAAAAACAATAAGAATTTTGTAATAAAATGTTTTTAGTAAAATACATTTTTCGTACTTTAAATTAAATATTATATTTATTTTAATAAAACTGGAACAAATTTTTTATAGCATAAATTGTGCATTTAATTATGTACTTATTTTTAAGGGTATTTCTATTCTAAAAATTTTTGGAAAGTATTTCAAAAAATAAATTGAAAAATTCTTCAAGTTGAACAGTAAAGTACATTTTTTTCTCGTTTCAATAAATTAAAAACATTTTATAACTAAATAAACTCTTATAATTTTTTCTAACGAATTAATAATTTAATTTGTCTTTGTATGAAAAATTTTTTTATTATGACAAATCAAACCAAAATAAATTGTGACATTAAAAGTGTCTGAAGTTGGACTCATATACAATCTGAACTTGCATAACCGCATAAGTGCAATAAAACTCATGATTCCGATGAAAAATTATCAAAATTTATATCAAATCGTGTGTTTTATTAAATGTTATAAAAGAATTTTGAAAATATTTTAAATAATAATACTAAATGCAAAAGACCGAACAAATCTGTTGATTTTCTGAATTGACAGAAGTGAGAGAACATTAAAATTAATTTATCTCCAAATCATGACAAATGCAGTTATGCTGTTATGCCTTTCTTCCACAGAATTAAAAAATGTTGTTTTTGAAAAACAACCTGATTTTTGTAATAAACCAAATTTTCTTAAACCAGTTTTCTTTTTAAATAAAATGATATTTGAAAAACCGTTTTTTAAATACTCGTATTCAAAAAACGTTTTTTTTTAAATACCGGTATTTAAAAAAAACAGTTTTTAAAAAAATACCGGTATTTAAAAAAAACCGGTTTTAAAAAAAATACCGGTTTTAAAAAAAACCTGTTTAAAAAAAAATATCGGTTTTTTAAAAGAAACCGGTTTAAAAATAAATACCGGTATTTTTAAAAAAACCGGTTTAAAAAAAAATACCGGTATTTTTTTTAATACCGAAAACCGACTGAAGAACCGGTTTTTTCAAAAACCGAAAACCGGTTATAGATTTTTAATACCGCACAGGCCTAGTTTTCTATAAGAAATTTTTTTCCGTGTATGCTTCTTTTTAGAAAAATTGTCCAAAAGCCTGAAACTTTAAAAAATTTTTGTTATATTTTGTACTCACGTGGAAATTTTTAGTAGGAAATATTATATAAATGCACAATAAATATTTTTTAATATTTATATTTAATTATTTCAATTAGAAAACCGGACAGATTTCGGACTAATCCGAAATTTGTCCAAAACAATGCGGTTTATGGTCAGGTTTTTGTCACCCGAAATTAATCCGGAAAAATCCGAACTCTATACGGTTTGTGAACAACTAGTGAAACCGGAGTTGGTCCTATGAAGTCCGAAATTAATCAGTTAATTTTAACTAGTGAATCCGGAATTAGTCCGAAACAGTCAAAAATTAGTCCAGAAAATTTAGTGAATGTTATTAAAAAAAAAAAATCTGTCCGCGCAAGCGCGGACTCATTCTCATCCGCGCTTCGCGCGGGGGCTCGCTTTGCTCGCGGCGGTCTGCAATTGTTGTGCATTATTTGTGTTTTTGTTCTTGTTTCCTATTATATGTTTCATAAAACATTTTTTTCTTAAAGTTACTACGACTTTAAGGATTACATTCTCATCACATGTTTTTGTTTGCTGATGATTGCGAGATAAAGTGGATTTAAATGTATATTTTTGGTCTTAATGATTTAAATTGTGAAGTTATTTTTAATTATACTAACTCTCTAAGCAGAAACATGATTTGCAGAAGCAGATAAAATATTCTTAAAGTATTAGTATCAAGGTTTTTGTGTTGGCTAACTTTTCACTCTTTGTCGATTTACTCGGACATTTTTGTTTTAATTAAGTGTTTATCTCCTAAAAAGTTACTCTGGTATCTTAGCTTTCTTTTAAAAAGACGAACGTCCCTATATTTACGCTTACTTTTTTTCTATAATGAACGTACACTTCGTCGGAATCGTAGGTTGCTCTTTATACATAGCCTGTTGCATTACACAGTAAAAACAAAGTCTTAAATTTAATGGTGGCTAGTTTTAATTTTTGACTTATCTTAAGCTATCAACTTTATTTAATCATAAAAACTAACTGAAAATTAAAGTTAGTTGTACTCTTACTTAAATAAAA